CACAATAGCACCCAAAAAAATGAAATACCTAGGAATCAACCTAATGAAAGAAATCAAAGGCCTCTTCTATAAACTATATAAAGACCTCTTCTATAAACTATAGCACTCTGAAAAGAGAGATTGAAGATGATATCAGAAAATGGAAAGACATGCCCTGCTCCTGGGTAGGAAGAATCAACATAGTGAAAATGACCATCATTCCAAAATTTCTATATAGATTCAATGCAATCCCAATTGAGATCCCAGCAGCATACTTCATGGACCTTGAGAAAACAGTCCAAAAATTCATTTGGAACAAGAAGAAACCCAAAATACCAAAAGCAATTCTAGGTAACAGAGACATGGTAGGAGATATCACAACCCCCACTTGAAACTATAGTACAAAGCTACTGTGATAAAAACAGCATGGTACTGGCAAAGAAACAGACTTGAGGATCAGTGGAACAGATTAGAAGATGCAGAAACAACGCCAGACACACTCCGCCATCTCATCTTCGACAAAGGAGCCAAACATCCTCCTTGGAGGAAAGATAGCCTCTTTAATAAATGGTGCTGGAAAAAATGGATTTCAACTTGCCAAAGATTAAAACTAAACCTATATCTCTCACCATGCACTAAACTAAAAGCAAAATGGATTAAAGATCTAAATATTAAAACAGAAACGCTGAACCAGCTGGAACACAGATTAGGTCGAACTCTTGAAGACATTGGGGTAGGAAAAGATTTTAGGAACAAAACCTCAGTTGCCTGTGAACTAGCACAAACAATCAACAAGTGGGATCTCTTCTTATGAAAAATCTTCTGCACAGGAAGAGAAGCCACCAGCAGTGTGAAGACACAACCCACAATGTGGGAAAAAATCTTCACCTGATGTTCCTCAGACAAGGTCTACTATCTCAAATCTATAAAGAACTTAAAAAGATCAGACCTCCCAAATTTAAAGACCCAATCTAAAAATGGGCATCTGAAATAAACAGACATTTCTGAGATAAAGAAGTACAAATAGCAAATAACATATGAAAAAAATGTTCAACATCACTGGCCATTGGAGAGATGCAAATGAAAACAATGCTGAGATTCCACCTCACTCCAGAAAAAATGCCTGCTCTCATGAAATCAACCAATAACAAATGCTGATGGGGCTGTGGGGAAAGAGGAACACTGCTCCACTGCTGGTGGGGGTGTAGACTGGTGCAAGCACTGTGGAAATCAGTATGGAGATACCTCAAAGAACTAGGACTGGAAGTCCCATTTGATCCAGCTATTCCCCTGCTGGATATCTTCCCAAAAGAATTAAAAGAATCATACCACCATGATATATGTGCACTCATGTTCATAGCAGCACAATTGGTAATAGCTAAAACTTGGAAGCAACCCAATTGCCCATCAACTGGTGACTGGATAAAGAAAATGTGGTTTTTTTAAATAAAATGGAGTACTACTCAGCCATAAAAAATGAAAAACTAGAGACATTTATAGCTAAATTTATACACATTGAGGTGATACTCTTAAGTGAAATAAGTAGAACACATTTGTGTAAATACTGAATAATTTCTCTAGTATGAGAATCTGAAACTGTAAATAAGGACTAAAAGGTATAATAAATAATGTGAAATAGGAAGAAAAGGGGCAAAGGGGAATGGGAGGTGTGAGGAGTAGGGGAAAAGAAAGAAGGAAATGGAATTAGTATGAGAAAATTGAAAAATGGTTACAAAGTCTTTGTAAATAGGGACGGATAGAGGGGTTGAAGGGAGGGCAGGGGAATGGGGAAAAAAATAAGAACCAAGAGAGATGTAAATGTACAAGTTTCCAATGATATTGTATACCTAAAATGTACCAATAAAATTAATTTTTAAAAAGAACTAAAAAAACAGACTTTCCAAAAACTACAGACACAAGGAAGAATGACCAAGTGAAACGAATAGATACTTTACAGAAGTAGTACAAATGGCCATTAGAGAAATGCAAATGAAAACAACACTAAGTTTCCATCTTACCCCAGAAAAATTGGCCATGATCAAGAAATCAAATAACAACAAATACTGGAGAGGATTCAGAGAAAAAGGAACCCTTCTACACTGTTGGTGGGTAAACTAGCACTACCACTACGAAATCAGTGTGAAGATTCCACAAAAAGCTAAAACTAGAAATTCCATTTGACCCAGCTATTCCCCTTCTAGGTATCTTCTTGAAAAAGTTAAAAGATATCATATTACAGTGATACATACATACCTGTGTTTATAGCAGCACAATTTATAAGAGCTAAGTCTTGGTCTTGGAATTAAAATACATATGTTATGCCTACTATACATAAGGAATGTAAACATTATGTACTGCAAACATGTAGTAATAAAAAAAACTAAGTGGTTTTTAAACTAGTCATAGATCCACCTGATTTGTTCCTGAAATACAAAATGATCATTTGCTTGCTGGTCATAAAGTAGATCTATATCATCTCAAGATAATTGAATTAATAATTATTGTAGACCAATTCTACATCAAGGACTCTGATTTTTTAAATAATGAGCAAGATATAGGCCCAATGTCAAAGAATTCAGTTTAGTGGAATGTCAATGATGCAAGAATTATAACACAAAATAACCCACTGTAATCACATACATGACAGAGAAAAAGGTATGGAAGAAGTCTTAGGGGTTTTATTTATTTAGGGCTCTCTGAAAGGTCCATTTGCTAAAAATATGCATATTCTTCCTCAAACCTGCCCCAGTGCCATGCAATATTGACAATGAGTTGTTCACTTAGAATAATGAACTATTTCCCAAAAGCCCACAAATTGTATTCGTGTGGCTTGGAAAAGACTGATTCCTTAACATTTATGTTGTATTATCCTGGAGTCATTTGTTCTCATAGAAAATGGGGAAGACAGAAGATATTTGTGTTTTGGCAAGACAGTAATTCAAAAATTAATTCATGGGCACAGACCATCAGGGATGAGCTCAGATGGGGCATAAATTCAGAAGGACCTGAAGGTGGACCATCATTTTGAGGGCATAAGCTAAAAGTGACTAGGGCTTGTCCAAGCCAGACTTCTTAAAAACAGATCTATTACTCACTGTCTCATTTTTTTCCCCTACAATTAGGTCATTAATTAATCAACAGATATTTATTAGACATATTTCTCCCACATGTTTTTACAGTATGGTTTTTGGAATCAAATCGAGACCACCCTGTCCTCTCTTTCCAAAGACTGATTTAGAATTTCTTCATGTCCTATTGCCAGCAAGATATTATGCAAATATAGTAAGGAAAAATACTGAAAGCTATTGCCTGCTTGGATAACTGATAGTTGATTTTCTTCTTTCCCCTTCCATGGTAGATTGCTTTAGGTGATTGTTACCATGTTAATGTCTTCTTTGTTCTCCTTAGATAAGTCACCAATTTCTCCTCTCATTACAAGGCAACTGGTGCTGCCCCACCTAACCTTTCTTTAGTTAACTTCATCAGTTTTCTTTCCATCCCATCCTTAATCAGATGAGGAAAAAATGAAGGTTTCTAAGCATTTAAAAGAGTAAAGTTCCAGAGAAGCCAAATAATGACTTAGTATCATTAACTATCAACAAAATTCAAGGCCACAATAAGGCTCCAGGTCCCTTAACATCACTAAACCAAGATCAAAGAATGATTTTCATTTTCACAGTGTCACATAGTATGTATCTTTGAATGGTAACTACAATTCAACCACTGCTAAGACTTATTATTTTTCTTCTAGCTGACAAAAAAAATGTAGGCAGATTCTTGAAAGATGTGTTTATTACTAATGAAAATAGCACGATTATATACTTAAGAAAGATCCTTTCATATACATAAGACTTAAAATTTTTATTTCTACTAATAAGATGAAAAAATTTCAGCAAAATAGTACAGTAACATGAATTTATTTGATCCCACTTTGAATAAATACCATTATAAACAAGATGAAAAAGAAAAACCCATACTTAACATACATGATGATAATGTACACTACTGCTTAAGAATCATCACATAGCCCTGATATATAATTATACATGTATTATCTTATGTCATGTCTTTTTCCTACAAAATTCCTTTAACATTTAAAGAAGTAATTAAATATGAGGAGAAATTAGGATGCAAAATTATTTAACATAGGCTGTAGTTATACTATATGGTTGAGAGGAATGTTTTAACCTGTGTCTTATTATCCTGAAAGGAATGGTTTATCTGTCTCTTATTAATACATAAGAGTAGTGCACAGTCTTACAAAATGCAAGAGTAAAGGGTCCACGTGAGTTCTTTACATCATCCATTACATTATGTAACCCTTCCACCTTCCCACACCCAGCCAGGATCCTTTGTGGTACACAGTGCAGAAGACTTGAGAGTTGTGACCTTCACAACATTTTCCTGCATTTATTACACACACAGGAATACAACGAGCTCAGGTCCTGACTCACTGCAGCCGGACTGTAAAAGAATCTGGCAGCACCCATTTATACTGGGAATTATTAGAAATGTTTTAGAAAAAAATCTGGCCCATATTTTTCTTGGATAAAATATCTCAATTTAATAAAGATAAGTAATTCTCCAAAATCAGCTGTTTCCTGTGGAATACATTCATTGTTTTCTTTTCCCATTCCAAAATGTAAATCCATTTCAAGGGCTGATAAATGTCAAAGTACCCATTGTTGAAAACATGAAAATGACACAAAGATACCAGCTGCCTAAAAATCATGAAATGTAAGACAAACTTAATTTTTTAAAAAGTGTTCAAATGAATAACTTGTTCAGATATCATATTTAAGCCAAGATACTTTTACAGTCTACAAAGAATATTTGTGTAGTTTCCATCATTTTGTCAGAAGTAACATTAAGTCAGGGTAGTTCCACTACACTGTAATTCACCATGTGGCCAAAAAAGAGGAAGTGACGGGACAGGAGGAGGGAAGGGGTGGCAGCCAACCCATGGAGACTACATACAGCAGAAGAAGCAACACAGGTGGGAATAAATCAGGGAAACTTGCGCTTCTTTTATTGTCTAAAGCAAATGTTATTTAGGCCACATAAATGTGAACAAGTATCTTCAAATCATTGCAATAGTAAAAATAGAGCCCTATTTATCAAGTAAATTCTCCTTTATCTAGAACCTATAAAAAATTGTCTAGTTCAATAAAAGACTATAGGGCTGGGATTTAGCTCAGTGGTTCTGCCACCTGCCTTGCAAGCGCAAGGACCCGACTTTGATCCTCGGTACCAAAACCAAAACAACAAACAACAACAAAAAAGACTATATCTACAAGACTTCACAGTACCTTATGAGTCCAGAAAAAGAAAAACAGGTTATTTCCCATGCATTTTTAGTACCTAACTGCATTTTATTATTTTCAAATAAGGTGACTATTTTATTGAACATTGTATCACTTGGTTAATGACAATGTTCTAACATTCAGAACATTTCATTCCTTAATCACAAAACCTAAATGAGAGTTTAGATGACTACATATCAGTAAATTAGTTTGGGGGAAGCTCTTTTAGAAAGAAGCTCTTAAGAGTAGTTTTCTCCATCAGACTGATAGCTCCTTTAGCCCTTTGCTTATAGCAGTGGTTCTTCACTGGGGAAGCTGCATTCTTCAGACTTTCCCACTGTGGTTCAGATACAGCAGAGGCAGAATGAAAGCCTTTATTCCTAAACTGAGAGGCTTTCTGTTCTTTCCCTGATAGTTTAGGGATTCTTTTACTCTTCCCTTCCAGTGGTGTGAAGAGACATTCATGCAGCATGGATAAAAATTATGCAATGGGAAAGTAGAGACTGCAGTGTGTGTCAGAAATCCCCAATTCCCATTTGACTGCTTGGCTCCTGGATACCAATGGCTCAGTTTGTGCTTCTCCGAAGTGTTTCATTTGGTGACCTGCTCTAGACAACCTTTATGTCCATCTAGAATACTTTCAGCAAGCACCCATTCAAAGAGTTCCCATCTAGGGTTAATTTGTGATTTTAAATTTTTTTATCTAACACATGCGCACTTAGGAAAGAAACAAAATCTTAAGCAGAAATCTTTGGAAATTTTACAAATAAAATCAAGCACTTAATAGTGACAAATACCTTTAACACTTATAATGCTTTAAAGATAGCAATCAAATTAGTCCAGAAGAAAATGTTCCAGCAGTAGCATAGTAGTGCCTACATTGAACTAATTGAGGATCCACCATGTGAGTAGGGAATAAAAAGCAATACTGAGATAAAGGAGCCACCCTGAGACACACACAGAGAACTTCTTCACCATATGTACTTTGCAAAATATCTTGATACCCTCAAGGTGTTCATTTGGCTCACAATGCATATAACCAGCCTCACCATTTAGTTCACGCTAATCTCATAATAAGTTGAAATTGGCAGTCATCAAGTTGAGAAAAAAACAGTGAACTCTATCCCTGGTTAATTATATCTGGTCAGAAATAAGCCAAAATGTTCAAGACTATTTTTGGCAAACATGGAGTTGTCCAATATAAAATGTTGGTATTAATAATAACCTATTGCCTATGTCTTTCAATATTAATAGTGATGATTATTTGGCCTTCTTGTCCCCTCTCAAGGATACCCACTCAAAAAACCCTAGGAGACAAAATGAACATTTCCATTTTCAGGCAAAATTTATGTAAGGTGTGGATTTTCCCAACCTTTACAATTTTAAGAATACTTTAATTGCAATAAAAATCTCATCCTATTTTGTGTAAGCAGAAATTAATTTGGACAGAAGTTATTATACAAAGGAGAAACAATGAAGATGAACTGATCTATACTAAGTGCTGTTTTCAAAATTAATACGCCAATAACTACAGAAAAACCAGGATTTGACCAAGATATTTTTCAATCTCAGAATCAGAAACCTATCAGTACTGACTCAGTCCACCAGTCAACTGGCAAAGCATATTGTCAATGCTGTGCCCTTGACCTAATACCCACTCCCTCACTGCCCTTGTGATTAAATTGGGTTTCAGACAAATGGGAACCATCTAAACCTTACAGAGATATATTATTCCTGAAAGTTAAAAAAAACAGGATTTTGATATAGTTAATATAACAATATTTTTTTCTTGATTAATATGTTCAGGAAATTCAAAACTTTAGTAGAAGCATCAAACATAAGCCTAACTCTATGCTGTAGCAAAAAGAATCCTTTGTTCAAAAAAGTATCATTTTATTTAAATGAATGTCTGACTTTAAACTATATCAAACTTATTTCAAAGGCTTCCTCTATTACAGCTAACAATAACAAATATGATACAAAATAGTTTTCCTACTGGGAAGCTGGAAGCACAGCTCTTAGGAGATACCTTCAAAGATTCAGAAGCAGACAGCAAATGCAGCCCTAACTCCCAGGTCTGGCTTTTTTTCTTAACAGAATACTTTCAAGAACTCACGCATTTTTTAATTTCTTTAAACACAACTCTTGGTCTTTAAAGTAAAAATTGTCAAATTTCTTTCTACATTCTGAAAATTTAAGGTAGGAAAAAAGTATACTTCACATTTATTTACTTTTTTAATAGAAAACTCTTCTTCCAACATTGTTCAAAAATCCAGATTAATTTTATGGCATAGGTAACAAGTGGTCTCCATCTTCTCCAGGCTTCTAATCAGTGTCAAAATAGGTACTTAGGTTAAAGTTCTTCCCTGCCATGAAAAAACAAAAAGCAATCCATTGGAAAAGCAAGAATATACTGAAATACATTTTTGTTGTAATACATCACCAAGCTACATTTCTAGAATCATCAATGCTTTCAACATTATTTCTTTGCAGGAAGATTTTTCTGACCTATGCCAAGTTAACCAACAAAAACCTTTACAATGCTTTTGTTTTGTTTTTGTTTTTTTTGGTACCAGGGATCGAACTCGGGTCCTTGCACTTGTGCAGCAGGCCACAAAACCACTGAGCTAAATCCCCGGCCCTACAATGCTTTTATTGAATACTAAATTAAGCCCATAAATATTTTTTTGCCCATGTGATGCTTTTATTGCATACTAAATTAAGCCCATAGATATTTTCTTGGGTTTGTGGATGAAAGCTCGGAGACTAAGTAAAAAATGAAAATACTATGTGGATTATGGGATCATGGGGTTATGGGCCTAATTTTTTCAATGTCATCTTCCCTCTATGAATAGCCCCCTCAAAGTTGTAGTGTCTTGTACTCTTTAATCCTCTTTTTTTTTCCTTTCTTTTTTTATTGTTTCATAGGATTTTCTTGTTTAACTTTTCTTTGTTTCATGGATTTTTTTGTATATTTTAATGTAAGGTAGTTCATATAGTTCATCAAATGAAACTGAAGCATGTAGTCAATCTGCTTATCCCTAATTAGGACAAATCTTTTGTATGGACTTTCAATTTAGGGAGTACATTCAGGCTGGTGGCTCTGAAGGACTTATATAGGGTCTTAGGAAAGATAATAATGTCATTCATGTTCTTTGTACTGAATACTACTGAAATGGAGCCATGGGCCATTTGCTAGCAAGAGCTGCAAAGATGAATGGATGTTCTGGTAAACATAGCTACTGGTATTACTGCTCTGACAGCATTCAGCACAACCGGCAACACCTCCTGAAAGCCAAGTCAAATTTTTAGAGGCAGCTCCACTATACATATGGAATTTTTAAAGCATCTTATTCAGTTTCTTTAGGTGGAAATTTGTTCCCTCTACCAGAGATGGACAATGAGGGACCTATCAGACAAAAAGGATTTGAAACAAGAAGGAATGAGGCTCTGTTCAGGACCATGGGTGTTATCCTGAACTTTCATCAACTTCTTTTATGAACACACATGAATTGCTCTGGTAGAAGATGCCTGGATGAGACCCATCCATGTGCAAACACTTCTGTGGTGACAACATAAGATCAAATATTAACAATAAGTTGTAATTTCACTATATTCAACTAATGTCCACAATGGTCTCTTTACAAAATAGTTTACTTTTGTAACCTAAGACTTGTTGTGGGCACTGGGGAACAAAGAAAAATGCTCACAATGGTCTCTTCACAAGATAGTTTATTTTTATAACCTAAAGTTTGTTGTGCATCTTGGGAAACAAAGAAAAAAATTACAGACACTTGCCCAGAATGCATGATGGGTAAACAAATGAGAAGAGACAGAATGAAATTATAATAAACTTGATAAAGATGAGAGATACTCTTAATGAAGCTTATAATTCAAAACATACTGAACAGTGTCTATTTATGAATACTCAAATCTTTTCATAGCAACCAGTTATGAAAAGTATTTTATATCATTGAACTATAGGTGAGATCCATAGTAACAAGAAAGAAATTATGACACAGCCTAGGGATTTCTAGACCAAAACAGTGTCAGAGTTTTAAATCATCTCTGCCTTGCTATCATTATCATCTTAAGTAAATCATTTTATCTCTCCAAGGCTTTCTTTCCTCATATAAAAAATATCCAACTTACAAAGCTATTATAAGGAATAAATTAGATTACAGTAATACCTCGATTTACAAATGCTTCTTTTTGCAAACAGTTCAGTTCACAAACAAAAGCACTTGGCAAAATTTCACTTCCATTCACAAACTCCACATCAGGTGACCAATACAACCATGGCCATCTTTCCCATACAAATACAAACACAGCCATCTTCCTCAAAATTGTAAAACAAATTAAGTTCATAAACTGAGGTACCACTATATCTGTGTGGTCAGTCATAAACTCTAAAGAAGTCAATCAATGTTGGGTATCACCAAGTTCCATCACACAGAGATGAATTACATGCTCATGATGGTGACACTACTCTAGGACAAGCTATTAGGACGATGAGCAGGAGGACTATGAAAATACTTACATTTGATGCTCTCTCACAAAAGCTGCAAACTCAGGATCATTGACATAGAGTTCCAAAATTCTCATTCTCTCTTGAATTTCCTTAAAAAATAAAAAGGGGCCCCATATTGTATTAGAACAACCTCAATAGTCTTTTAAAAGTCATTCTAACTATTATAAGGAATTGTGAGTTTCTGGGTTATCCAAGGGAATGTCATAAAGAAGAATTGCTTTAATGTTGGATATTACATGTACTGCTCTAACTCCGACACAAATTTCTAAGAAAGAAATGAAGGAAAAAGAGAGTATTTGTTAATAATGGAAAGAGGAGCAGGGAATAAAGTACAGCTCTAAGTTGAATAACCTCTGCATACCACACTGAGAGACATCATGAGGAAGAACTAATCATGAAATATTTTTCATCCTCTCTTGAGCCACCTGCATACATACATAGACACACACACACACACACTAGCAGTAGCAGCAGCAGCAGCACAGTAACAAAAATGCAAAGTTTCTACCTCTTTGGAAAGGCCACTACTCTCATACATCTGTCTGATTTCTTCTCTGCTCAGGCCACCAATCACTTCCTCACAAGCTGAGCCATAGAAGGGATGCTGAGGATAGGGTTGCTCATATTGCTCATATCCAGCCAAGTGGCTGTCAAATACAGGGTTGCATTTTACAGCATTCTCCATGGATGAAAGGCTGTCAGGCTGCCTGCTGAAGCCACAAAAAGAAAGATATAATTGATTCATGTTCTTCTTTGGTGCTCAATGATTTGGAACACTACCTGGGACAAGGTTTCTGCTGGTAAAGGGAAAGAAGAGAAATAGACACAAGGTTGGGGGGGGGGGTGCTGTGAAAAATATCCACATCAACTTCAAAAATTATTTATCAGGTACTATCATTATTACCTTCTCAGCCGTATGTAAGGATCCTGTGGAATTTTTCCATGTTTCATTCATCTTATTTTTCCACAGTGTCTCAATAAATGTTAGTTGAGAAATATGTCTTCCAGTTGATCGTTTCCATTCAACAAATAAAACTGCATTATTCCCAGAGGTATACATACCCAAAATCAGTATGTAATCACTTAGATAAAAAAGAACCCCTCTACACAGTTGGTGGAAATGTAAACTAGTGCAACCATTATGGAAAGCAGAATGAAGATTCTTCAAAAAGCTAAAAAATGGCCAGGGGTTTAGCTTGGTAATTTCGCCGCCTGCTGTGCAAGGACCCGAGTTCAATCCCTGGCACCAAAGAAAAAAGCTAAAAAATAGAAATTCCATTCAACTCAGCTATTTCCCTTCTATGAACCTTCCCAAAAGGTTAATGATATCAGGTTATAGTAATGCATGCATATTCTTATTTATAACAGCATAATTCACAATAGCTGAGAAGCTGAGAAGCAGTTTACATGTCCATCAATGGATAAATGGATAAAGAAAGTGTGGTATTTATGTGCAATGGAGTGCTACTGTGCCATAAAGAAGGATGAACTTGAGCTATGTGTAGGAAAATGAATGCACCTTGAGATCATAATTTTAACTGTAATAAACCAGACACACAAGCTTAAATATCACAGTTTCTCTTATATGAGAAATACAAAATATAAACAAAGAGGAAAATAAAAGATAGCTAATAGAAAATAGGAAAATGGGTCTTTTGTAAAAGGGAAGAGGACCAAGAGATGGAAAGGGGGGAGGGAGAGGGAAAAAAGGATGAAAAAAAGAATTTAGATGTGTTATATAATCATTATGCCTGCAAACATGCGCTAATAAAATAAAAAGCGGGAGGAAAATGGATGCTTCTACAGTGTGCCTAGAGGTCCATGTAGGCCTCCCTTGAGTTGGCTCATGATTCACTCAACTAGCTGAAAAGAGTTCCAGCCACTCCAGAAAATGTCTATTCTTTTGTTCAGCAAAATACCACAACTATTGCTAAAACTTTTAAGACTCTACCCCATAGGCAAAGCTAGTTCACTTCTCATCTAGGCTCCTTAGCAGCTCATTAGTTATGCCAGATGCTAATGTTTCTCTCCAACCAGATACCTCTCTGAAGACAGGGACCATGCTTTTACTCAACTTTATAGCTCTCTCCCCTCCACCCACATCCTTGCCCGGTATCTGGTACATAGTAAGTACTAAATGAATGAGTAAATGCAATGTTTTATTCCATCAGAGAGCTCTTTTCCTTAGTTACCTGAAGGGCCTCCCTCTTTCTCTCCTGACATGCTGAGCTTGAAGAGTCTTGACAAGGAAGAAGATGACGACAGAACAGATGAGGAGAAGTCCAACCACAGAGGCTACGGTGATGCCGATGACCAAAGGCTCAGACACAAATTCCTCACAGTGCTCACCTCGGTACCACCAGTTTTCACCTACACGGCATCTGCAAAGAGCAGTAACCAAATCCAAAATCTGAGATACTCTGCTGAAAGTGACAATGAAGAGCAGAACCTTCAGTGGGACTGGGAAAAGTAAAGATATAAATGTTGACCACGTGACGCTCCATTAAAGAATTGAATATAGGGCTGGGGATGTAGTCAGTGATAGAGCATTTGGCTGAGCATTCACAATGCCCTGGGTTTGATCGCTAGCATGGGGAGGGGGGGTAGATATACATGTTACATGAGCACGTGATTTAAGGCTGTGCATAATGCCTGGCAGATCTAATATATTCTCAATGATTGCCTCTAAATGACCAAATAAAAATTAAATAGACTTAAATATTCCATTTAATCTCTTTATTTATGGATAACAAAAAAAAGGTGCAAGAAGGAATGTGAGTGGTATTAGGTTATACAGCTAGTCAATAACAGAACTGGATCTAGAACTCTGTTCTCCAGGCCTTTTACATCCTTTCACCACACTAAAGAAATTCTTCAAATCCTGAGGCCATGCACTTGTGTAAAAATGTCTTCAATATCCACAACAGCAAGGAAGTCCCTGCTTTGCAAAATAATATCAGTTTCTCTGGATGCCAAGAAATTGTTTTTCCTTAGTGTTCTACCTAAACTTTTTACTGTTAACAAAAGGGTCTGGATCATTTCTACTTATCTTCTCTGTTTGGGGTATTTATGCCAACATTTGCCAATTTTGACGTACAAATTGCCCTGCTATGTATGTTACTCCTCTGTATTCTCAGCATCCTCTGCTCTTGTAGGCATCTACAAGATGGTTGTGTGTGGTTGGAAAGTTAATTTGTTTGGCTTTGTTTAAGAGAGGTAAGCAGTGAAGTGTCATCAGACTAACTGAATATGTACTTTGCAGTATTTTCATTGGTGTCAAGTGTACCTAAAGAAAAATGTGTTTGTTATCACTTTGATACCTTCAAGTGCTACTTGTTTTACTTTATTTTTCAATACTTAGTAGTACAGGGAGGAGTTCAAAGACATTAAAAATATAATCAAGCAGAACAATACCTGTTTTTAACCTTCAAGAATAAAGTGTTAATCTTATGTCTAAACCTCATTTGAATACCAATGTCCTTATCATCACCATTAAAATCATAACAGAAAGAGCTCTAGTTATGCCAAGCACTCTGAATAGTATGATTTAAACAAATTTTTTTTGTTAAATTCTTTATTGGCACATTTTAGGTATACAACACAATTACATTTCTCATTGGGAATTGTACCTTTACATAATGCATCTTACTTCTTATTTTTT